CATTAGAAAATAGACATTCATGTAACAGGTGTTTTGTGTGACGGTAAATGCAGTCTTGCATCACTTAATGACATTTTGGTCAACCATGGGCCACATACATGACTGTAGGCTAAATAATCTCCTACAGGTGATATTATATAACCAAAGTGTGTAGTAGGTTTGTAGTTTCTAGGTTTGTAAAATTGAAATTATGGAGTTCACATGACAATTCCATAACAACAAAATTCTCAGAATATATCCTATGACACAAGATGACAAACTATTCTCCAAAGTGGCTGTACCATTTTTTCATTTCCACCAACAATGAACTCCTTCTAAATATTTGATAATGGTGTTTTATGAATTTCAGCCTTTCTAACTGGTGTATAGTTATATTAAATAAACTTTTATTTTACATTCTATTAATGCAGTCCAATGGCTATTGATAGAAATACAATATTGTAGAATGTTAAACCAGTCTTACATTGTTGGGATTAAACTCTCTTGGTCATGTTACAATTATCATTTTAACATTGCTGGATTTTGTTTGCTAATATTTTGTTGTGAATTTTGTGCCCGTGTTCAGGAGGGTCTGCAGTTAGTGTCACTTGTCTTCTTCCCTCCCTCCTAATCCAAATCCTGTGATAGCACTCTGTTGCATTTTATTCCCTCCGTCAGACCCTGCTAATCTTTTAACTCAGTATCCTCATTGGTTCTCTGTATCTCCTAAACTCTCCACCACCTACTTCAAATTTTAAAAATCCATGTTTCTCATTGCTTAATATTTGTCAGAATCCAATCAGGAAACAGCTGGCTCATTCATAGGATTAACTGAAAAAAGTTTAATGAAGGGATTATCTACAATATTGTGAGCAGTGAAGGAGGAAATCTGGAAGGGATGTGCCCTCCCAGGGGTTGACTACAGCTGGTGGTGTTCCCACCTTGGGGGAGTCCGAAGAAGAGGTGGGAGTGACTGGAACCTAGCAAAGGCTGTGTTGTGGGAGAGAGGGACTTTAATAGGCCCTGTGACCTTATGCAAGGAACACTGTCCCTGCCAGAACCACATGCTGGTAGGGCGAGAAAGTGCGCACACACGCACACACCTGCCTTAAGCTCTCTTCCTGTTTGCTTCTCTCTGTCTGGTGTTTCTCATTGGCTGGGTCCAGAGAAGGGCCAGGAATCCCGGTGATGTACTTCTTAGAGCAGGGCAGAGGGGACCAGGTGGGAAACGCAGGGCTGACCGGGTCCTGGGCACACACCTACCGAAGCCCAAGCTCCATGCCTAAGCACCCAGAGCCAGCTCTGCCTCCCGTTTACTTGTTCACTTGCTGCCCTCTGAGTTAGAACTGTCTCTTCTCTGTATCTTCCACAGCCGCCTCATTAGGCTCTCTGTCACGCGTGATCTATGATCAGATCAGTGCTGATCTGAGTGGTGGGCTTAGGGAAGTACTTGCCAAGCCGGGTAGCACAGTGACCTTTCCTGACTCCACTTCTCACTGAGGTTTAAAAAACAAGAGTTCTCCCTTATGTATATGCTTCTGTTTTAAAGAGACTCAGAGAAGCTAAATAATCTGCTCAAGATTTCACAGAGCAAGCCATGGGAAAGCTACCCAGTCTCTCCAAGCTCCTTTTTCCTCAGCTGTAAGACAGGATTGCATGGATTTATAGAGATGAACTATATATTTCAAAAAATACTGCCTGTTGTACTGACTGCCTAGGAACTCAGATTATCCTCACAGCTTTTGAAGAGATGTCAATGTCAGGTATGTGTGTGTGTGTTTTTAAATGACCTGTGTAGTGACTTCTTATGGGCCGGTTCTGATATAAATGCTTTACAAATATTAACTCATTTACTCCTCAACTCTCCCATGAAGTAAATACAGTTATACTTTTGTACAAACAAGGAATCAGAGGCACAGAATGGTTAACAAACGTCCCTGAGCTTACCTCCTTGACTGGCGGTGGGGCTGGGACTTGGCCCAGGCAGCCAGCCACAGATTCCATGCCCCTCACCTTTGTGTGCCCTTCCCCGCGACTTGTGGTCCTGTCAAAGTAACGTGGTGACTGGAATGCCTCTGAGCTTAGCTGGGTCTAAGGGAACCAGGGAATTTTGGAAGCATGCATGTATAGGGAATTTTGGAAGCATGCATGTATAAGTATGTTAGCACAGGAGCAAGGATGTTTTAAAGACTAGGCCCTGAAATAAATGTGGAAAACCAGCTCTGCCTGCTTGAGCAGGAAATCCCCAGTCATCAAGCCTGCTTCCCATCATGCCATCTGGTTGCCTCACTCCAGTTAGTGCCCCGTGCGGTGGTTGATGAGACTGCTCTTTGAGCCAGCATCAGCGAAAGAGAGGTTATTAGAACTTCTTTTAATCCGTTGTTGTTTTAAGCCACCACTACAAACATAACACACACTAGAGTGTGATAGAATGAGGTGCAAGGAAAGAGGAAGTAGGTCCTGGGCATGGGTTTAGGGAGGCATCCTTGCTGCGATGGCTGTCTCACACCCTGACCCTCAGCGCTGTCAGGAAGTAATGACCCACAAGTCTTAAGCAGAATCCAACTCACCTGGCACTGCACTCTTGACACTCTTAAGCTTCCAGAAAGGTCATGACCCATAAGTAGCCAGCTAGCTCTGTAAATGCAACATGTGACCACTATAGCCAGAGGGTTTCTGTGGTTTCTTCTGCGTACTCTGATTTCCTCCCACATCCCTGAGATGTGCATGTGGGGTTCATTGATATGTTTCAGTTGTCTCTGCTGGAGTGGGTGTGAGCACACCCTGCAATGGAAGGTAGGGTCATACCTAGTGCCCTGAGCCAGTCTCCAGCAGCCGAGACCCTGCCCCAGAATAGCAGGTTGGAAAATGAACCAAGGATGGAAATGATTCTTCAAATGAGAAGTGTTTTGGGTCATTACTTAGAGGTTTGGCTATAGTTTGTGGTCAGAAATTTGTCACAGGGACTTAACTCTTGTTTATATCACTCACTCTGTGGTAAAATTGGTTTCATTATATGTTATTTTGCTTGAAGGCACTGTTTCTATAAACTTGTCCATGACATTGAGGACTTACTGTACACCCATGTTCACACAAGTCGTAGAGTAGCTGAAATATCCAGCCCAGTGTCCTTGCACAGATGAATAAGAAAAATGTGTGTGAGTGTACAGTGGAATGGTAACGTTTAAAAGAAAGGAAATCTGATATATTCTCCAACAGGACGTGCTAAGTAAAAGAATCCTTTAACCAAAAGACAAATACCGCGTGACTCCACATATACTGCATGACTCCACATATACCGCATGACTCCACTTATGTGACGTACTTAGGTCAGTCAGACTCATGGAGACAGGAAGTAGGCAGGTTGCCACCCTTGGGGCTGGGGTTAGAAGTAAATTGTTGTTTAATGGGGACAGAGTGTGACGTTTGCAAGATGGAAAGAGTTTGGGAGGTGGAGTGGTGGTGATGATGGTTGTACGATCTTTGAATACCCTTGAGCATGTTTAAACCTCACCTTGGTCTCCAAGCAAGTTTTCCAGCTTTTGTTGTCGTTGGGATCAGGAGACTTGACAGCAAGCAAAACATTCATTCTAGAAAGTCTGGCAAAGTTCAAAGCCAAGAATCATCCATAATCCCATCCTAAGTAATCATCAAATTCAGGTGTATGCATGGGATATTTCTGGATATTTTATAGATTCAGATATCCTTGTGTGTTTGTATATAGATGTGCTTTTTATGCACTTTTTTGTGTTAATATGAACTTGATTCCATACTTCAGATGTTATTTTGCTTCCCCCTTTTCAGTGACTAAGGTGATCAGGTCTTCGAACTAATGGCTCCATGGTGTTATTTCTCTAACGCAAATGAAATCTAGATCACCTCCCAGTTTTCACTCTCATAGTCAATATTGCTGTAAATATTCTTTTTTTTTTTAAAGATTTATTTATTTATGCAGGAAGTGGGGTACAGGCCAGAGGTACAGGGGTGGAGAGCAAGAGGATTCACCAGAGACAGCATGGGGAGCAGAACAGGCAGATTGACGAAGTACACTGCTGAGGGGAGCAGCGGGCGGGTCAGGAGAGGTCTGCCGCTCCATGTGGTCACCTCCGGGGCGGGGATCAAATTCGTGCTGCAGCGGCTGCAGTACTGTTACAGTGATGTGCTTTAACCTGTGGCACCACGAGGGAGGGCCCAACATTCGTGTGTGTGTGTGTGTGTGTGTGTAGAAGAACTGAAGTGTGTGTGTGTGTGTGTGTGTGTGTGTGTGTGTGTGTGTGTGTAGAAGAACTGAAGTGTAGGACATAGGTGTGGGTGGTGAGAGGATTCACCAGAGATAGTGGGGAGCAGAACAGGCAGATGGACTGAAATCCACTGCTGAGGAGAGCAGAGGGTGAGACAAGAGAAGTTTTCTGTGCCGTGTGGGTCACTCCCTGGCCGGGGAGTGAATTCAGGCCTTAGTGGAGATAGGGCTGAGAGTTAACCCGTAGCCACCAGAGAGGCCCGCTATGAATATTCTTATACAGGACAAAACTCATATTAAGCATCGTTGCTGGTTCAGTAGTCGGAAACTGTTTTTAGGTTTTGGTTTTTGTGTGACGTTCTGTGCTCACTGCCGTAAATCTCTGAGTTGTAATCTGCACAGCACCTAATAGTTCTCTTTCCTCTTTTACTGTTTTTTTTTTTTTTAATCCCTCTTATTTTTGTCATATATTATTGTGAACTTTGTGAACTTTTACTCTTAGGGCCCTGAGAGTTAGAGGCGGGAATAGTCGCACAGAAAGTATTACAACAGGATTTTGAGCCCAGCTTTACCCAATTTTCATTTTCCTCCCCTAAGTTCTAGTCGGTGGATATTACTGGCGTCCTTAGGTCTCTGTGAGAGAAGCTCCTGTAGCTTTTTGCTTTGGAGCAGTATTTCATTTTGCTTTTGTGACAGAAGGTAGACGCTTCCAAATAACCTAGAAGGTAGCCTCAGTTCAGCACGCCATCCACTAAAAGTTGTGTGCCGCTTGCTGTTCCAGGAGCCATGTCTGACCAGGACCGTGGGATGGCCGTTTGCATGCTGGAGGCTCTCGTGAGGAGATGAGCTGGTGACAGAGAAGCCGACATGAAGATGCTCCCCGGAGTGGGTGTGTTTGGGACGGGCAGCTCCGCCCGAGTTCTGGTCCCACTGCTGAGGGCAGAGGGGTTCACGGTGGAGGCCCTGTGGGGGAAGACTGAGGAGGAGGCAAAGCAGCTGGCTGAGGAGATGGACATCGCCTTCTATACCAGCCGGACCGATGACGTCTTGCTGCATCAAGATGTGGACCTGGTGTGCATCAACATCCCCCCTCCGCTCACCCGGCAAATATCCGTGAAGGCGCTAGGTATGAGCGGTCGGGCCACAGCAGAGGCAATCTCTACTCTCCTGGCCCCTGCTGGCCCTTCTTGGGCTTGGGCCTGCAGTAACATTACTCTGTGACACCATTCCTCCCTGGAGCAGAGTAGGGGAGGACATGTCAGGGTCTTACGGCGGGCGGTGGGAGCAGGCACCAGTGCCTGGGAAAGGCTCAGTTTTCCTCACCTCCAGTAAGCAAATCCCTGAGTAAAATTTAAGGAAATACTTTAAGAGCTGGCCCGCCACAAGGGATTGTTAGATTTCAAGCAGTGTAAAGCTTGCCTCTGTGAAGTCAGACTTGGAAGATCGGGGAAGCTGGTTGCGGTTGACACGTCTGCCCTCCCCTGTCCGTGTCCTGTGGGCCACGAAAGGAGCAGAGGGTGCGGGCAAGGCTGCCGTTGCCCTGTAGGCTGGACGGAGCACACACCCTTCCTGCCAAGCTTGGCTCTTCCATGCCAGTGGGCAGGAAGGCTCTCGCGGCACTGGTTTCGCTGGCAGGATCCATGGGCCGGCCAGCTCAGGTCTCGGCCCCTCGGGAAGTACTTGGCTCAGCCGCCTCCTGCCCCGGCCGGGTGGGGTTTGCTTAGCTGTGCTGCAGTTCCTGTCGCGCCTCTGCTGTTAACTGTAGATAGATTCTTTTCCACATCTTATCCAAGTCAGAATCTCATTGAATAGGAAACTTAACCAGGAAACATTCACCCAGTAATTTTCTTTAATGCCACTGTGTCTTTCTGGCCATTCAAGGCAATGCCAGCCCAAGCCCACCTGCTTTCACAGTTGAGGAAGAGATGAGGAGAAACACAACCCATGCAGTCAGGGGTCTTTGGGTCCAGGAGCCAGGACGCCAGGACTTTGACCACCTTCCCCCTGCCACGGTCACGGTGGGACCTCCAAGGCTTTGCCCATCCCTGGTTCTGGGGATAGGAGTTGTCAAGAATCAGCGTTCATTGAAGTGAGCAAGAACATGAGTCTTTTTTTTTTTTTTT